GAGGAGGGGGAGGGGCGGAGGAGGAGGAGGAGAACCAGTTTAAACCCAAGGTTCATGAACGATTTCTCAATATCCCTCCAAGTTCCTCTTCATAGGTTCCATACAAGGGTTCAGCTTCACTGAGAGAAGCGCCCCGTTGGAAGACAACTGTTTGAAAATCTGTGCCAGAGCACCACTCCTGGGACTTCAACGCCGGAAAGCACCGTTTCTGTTGCGCCTTGACGGTCCTGAATCGTGCCAGAACACCGATCCTGGAACTCAAACACCGCGAATCGATGTAATTGTTGCACCCTGACAGTCCGACGTCGTGCCGCAACCCCATTTCCGAGACGGTAGTCATGAAAGTCCTTAAAATTGCTGTAAGTCCGAAAACGAATGTGCGCGGCGCTGAGGCGAGAGCCACAGTTTGACAAGGAACCGCCCTCCATCCATGAAATTAGTTCAGTTTGTAAGACGAGTGCGCGCGGCGCGAAAGCGAGAGCCACATTTTGAAAGCGGCCGCCCCCTATCCGTGAACTTGTTGCAAGCCCTAAAACGAATATGCGCGGCACCGGCCTCCATCCATGAAATCGTTACAAATTATCAGCTTACGAATCGTAAATGGTGGAGAAGTGTCAGGCGAAATGCCCGTCCCGCCGTACTGACACGCCTCGGGGTGCGGCAGGGAAGAGCTAATCACACGGAAAGAAGCGGAGGAGGAGGAGGAGGAGGAGGAGGAAAAGGACCAGTGCAAACCCAACACGCATCACTTATGTTACAATTAACCCGTCCTCCAAGCTTCCTCTTCAGAGCCCCTTACAAAAAAATGCTCGCTGCGGGAAGTGGCAAATTATTAGACAACCGTCTGATAATCTGCTGTCGTGCCAACACAGCGTCCCTGGGACTTCAACCCTGCGAAGCATTGACTGTTGCATTATTACACGTCCCTAAGAATTGCCAGAACACTACGCCTGGGACTGCAAAGCCGCGAATCATAGTGTTTGTTGCGTCCTGACAATTCGCGCCAGAAAACCGCTCTTGGGACTTAACCGTACGAATGTTCGAAACTGTTGCAACAGTTTAAGACGATTGTGCGCGGCGGTAAGGCGAGAGCCACATTCCTGAAAACCCCTTTCACTTTTGAAATCGATGCCAGTTTTTAGGACGAACGTGCGCGGCACTGAGGCGAACCGCCATCCATCTCCGAAGTTGCCCCGAATGTTTAAGACGAACATGCGCGGCGCCTATGCGAGAGCCACATTTTGAAAACCACCTGCCCTCCTCCATCCTTGAGGCCGCTGCAATGCTTTCAGACGGGCGCGCGCGGCACGAAGGCGAGAGCCACATTTCAAACACGGCGCGCCTTCCATGTGTGAGAAAGTTGCAAGTTTCTAGCTTCAGGACTGTCAGGGGTGAGGAAGTCTCAGGCGAAACGCCCGGCCCGCGAGGAGGAGGAGGAGGAGGAGGAGGGAACCAGTAGGAAATAAAAAGATGCGTTCTGGAGTAAGTCCTTCAAGGAGGTTGGACTTCGTTCCCGTTTCGGAGTGAATTTACTCCAGAGCTAATCCACAAGAAGATTGGAACGAGCTCCAGAACGCGAAGATTCTACTCTGAAGTAGATTTGTGTCGCGCTGGAAGTGGCGCCAGCATTCTCAAGGTAATTCTCCAGATTAATTCGCATGTGCCAGGGCAGGTAGGGCCAGCCTTGCCAGTGAATTTACTCCAGAGTAATTTCGCGGGTTCAGGGCGGGCCCCAATTCCAACCTCCTGGAAAGAATGATTCCGGACTACATGTTTTTGATTTCGTCATAGTTTCATATTCTTCCGGCCCGGAAAAGGTTTTAATAAGCAGGAAATGTCAAATATCTACTTCGGAGTATTGGAGCTTTCAAAAGTTGTAGCAGATATTCGGCGAATCTCATGACAAGCGAACGGGCTTCTCAGAAATTATATTTGGCAGGTTGTGTGACGCAAGCCCCTCGGCAGCTTTGCAGACGCCTCTGATGGGCTCGTGGAAACTTGTTCGACGAGTTTCGGGGAGGAAGGGGGTTATTTGCGCAATGTCCCTGAGAGGCCTCTTGGAAGCCTTTCAAAAACTTTGCACAGGGCCTCAAAAATGTTGTTTCAGAAGTTTGCGACCATTTCTCGGAAGCTTTTGGAGACCCCAGCACGACCACACAGCACGGCCACCCAGTGCGATTACCAAACACGACACACCCAGCACCACCACTCTACAAGACCACCCAGCGCAACCACCCAGCGCGACCACTCAGCAAAGCCACTCAGCATGACCACCAAGCACAACCACCCAGCACAACCACCCAGAACGACCACCCAGCACGGCCGCCCAGCACGACACACCAGCCCGACCACCCAGCCTGACCACCCAGCAAGACCCCCAGCACGACCACCATCACCCAGCACGACCACGCAGCACGACCATCCAGCACGACCACTCAGAACGACCACTCAGCACGACCGCCCAGCACGACCACTCATCACGACCACCCAGCACGACCACCCAATACGACCATTCAGCACAACAACCCAGAACGAACGCCCAGCATGATCACCCAGCACGACCACCCAGCACGACCACCCAGAATCACCACCAAGCACGACCACCAGCACGAGCACCCAGCACGACCACCCAGAACGACCACCCAGCACGACCACCCGGCCCGACAACCCAGCATGACCACCAGCACGAGCACCCAGGACAACCACCCAGAACGACCGCCCAGCACGACCACCAGGCAAGACCACGCAGCACGACCACCCCCACCCAGCACGGCCACACAGCGCGGCCACCCAGCACGACCACCAGAACGACCACCCAGCATGATCACCCAATACGACCACAACCACCCAGAACGACCGCCCAGCACGACCACCTGGCACGACAACCACGCACGACCACCAGCACAAGCACCCAGCAAGACCACTCAGCAGGACCACCCAGAACGACCTCCGAGCATGACCACCCAGCACGATCAACCAGAACGACCACCCAGCCCGACCACCCAGCTAGACCACCCAGCACGACCACCCCCACCCAGCACGGCCACAAAGCACGACCGCCCAGCGCGACCACCCAGCACCACCACCCAACACGACCACAACCACCCAGAACGACCGCCTAGGACGACCAACTAGTCCGACCACCCACCACGATCGTCAGCTCAACCACCAAGCACGGCCAGCCAGCCCGACCACCCAGCACGACCAACCAGCCTGACAACATTAGCCCGACCAACCAACACCACGACCCAGCACGACCACCACCCAGCACGACCACCACCACCACCAAGATCGACCGCCCCAGCACAAACACCAAGCACGACCACCCAGCACGAGCCCTAGCACACCCACCAAGCACGACCACCCGGCCCAGCACGACCACAACAATAAGAAGTAATTGGTTTAACGACCGGGCGGTTGTGCTGGATTGTCGTGCTGGAATTCTTGGTGGGTGGTCGTGCTGGGCGGTCGTGCTGGGTGGTCGTGTTGGGTGGTCGTGTTGGGTGGTCGTGCTGGGTGGTCGTGCTGGGCGGTCGTGCTGAGATGTCGTGCTGGGTGGTCGTGCTGGGTGGTCGTGCTGGGCGGTCGTGCTGGGTTTTCATGCCTTGTGGTCGTGCTGGTGATCGTACTTGGTGTTCGTGCTGATTTTTGACGCAAGTCCTATCACGGCCCGCACTATTTTCACCTGGGCCTGAGTCAGTACACTCGCAGGTCCCAGGGCGCGAGCCAGCCGTGCCCGTAGATACTGTAAACTCCGGAGAAAATTCATCCCGCCGCGGGCGCTAGGAGCGGAGAAGCGCAGCAACGAGTTTTTCGAATCTTTCGAATGAGTCGTTTGCCCGCGAGGCCCGCGTCCTCACAAACAAAATGGTTTAATGCAAGCTCGCGGGGTCCCCAGGCCGAAACAGCTCACGGAAAAAGGCGGAGGGAACCGAGCGTCGGGTTTCGCGGCGTTCCTGCCTTATTTTAGGGCCGGGGCGCCCCGAACGCCGACAGGGGCAACCTTTCGAGTGAATCGTGTGCTGGCGGGGCCCGAACCCACACGAAAAATACGGTTTAGCGAACGCTCGCCAGCACGACCACCCAGCAGGACCCCCCGCGCGGCCACCTGCACGACCACCCAGCACGAGCACCCAGCACGACCATCCAGGACGACCACCAAGCGCGGCCACGGGAAACAGAGGGCAGGAGCGCCGCGAAGCCCGCAAACGCCCAGTGCGGCCGTGACCGTGAATTTATTCCAGGGTAAACTCGCGGGTCCCATGTTGGTCCGCGCTACTCTCACCTGGGCCTGAATCAGAACACTCGCGGGTCCCAGGGCGCGAACCAGCCGTGCGCGTGGAGTAACTCTGGAGTAAATTCATCCCGCCGCGGGCGCTACAGCGGAAAAGCGCAGCAACGAGTCTTTCGAATTTTTCGAGTGAGTCGTTTGCCCGCGGGCGTCCACAAAAAAACGCCAGTTTATTGTGCGCTCGCGAGGTCCTTAGACCGAAAGAGGTCACGGAAAAATGGTGGCGGGAGGAGGCGGGACGAATTCATTGCGGAACTAAACATATGGGCACGGTTGGTTCGCGCCTTGGGACCCGCGAGCGTATTAATTCAAGCCCGCGAGTTTACAGTAAATTCACTGTCAAAGCCGCGGCGGGGTGAATTTACTCTGGAGTTAATCTACGGGCACCAGGCGAGAGTAGTGCGGCCGACATGGGACCCGCGGATTTACTCCAGAGTAGAATCACGGTCCAGGTTGCCTGGGGAAGTTCCGCAGCGCGGCGTGTGGATTCATTCCAGAGTTAATTCAGGACCCAGGCAGATTTATTGCCAACCATGCCACGGATGGATTCTGGAGTAAATTCCGAAAAGGAAGCCGGTCGAAGGGTCATCAGTGGAGTGGACTTACTCCAAAGAAAAGCCGCGGTAAAGGAGACAGCGGATCTTGTAAAGGGAAAGAGTTATTTCGGAGTTGATTCTTTCCAGACTCATGGATTGATCGCTTTTCGGAGGACCTGGAGGAGGAGGAGGAGGCGGAGGAGGAGGAGGAGGAGGAGGAGGAGGAGGAGCAGGAGGAGGAGGGCAGGAGGAGGAGAGGAGGAGGAGGAGGAGGACGAGGACGAGGAGGAGGAGGAAGGAGGAGGAGGAGGAGGAGGAGGAGGAGGACGACGAGCAGGAGGACGACGACGAGCAGGAGGACGAGGAGGAGGCGACGGGGCGGGAGCCCCCGCGGGGGCCCGCTGCCCAAGGCCTTGGCCGCCGTTCCGCTTCGGGGCGGCACGGCGGAGTGAGCCGGGCTGGCGCCGGCGGCCGAGCTGTGAGCCGTGGTCCTTCGAAAGGCGCCCCAAAGAGTGTGGTGACCACACCAAAAAACTTCGGGAACCGATATCGGATTGAAATTTCAAAAACATGTATTTCTCGAGTTTTCAGGCTGGTATTCAACGAATAGTTCACTTTGTATTCCGAGCATTTTTACCCGTTCTGAGCTGAGAGGGTCCTGGCGGTAATCTGGTTGACGGTTTACCGCCGGCTCCCAGTTAACCGACTTGGCCGTGTGGTGAGTCAGTGGGGATTCTCACCGAGCGCGTTCCATTACTCGCAAAGCGCCTACTCGCAAACGTACGACAAGAGCATGCCTTCTTCTATGGAATGGGTCGTGAATCCCCCGCGGCGGATCCGGGCCATTTGCGAGTAGTTGCTTTGCGAATAGTGGAACGTGCCGAGGTCATCACGCAGTCCGTCACCACAAGGGTTTGGGGCACCGAAATCGAAGGCGGGGGTAGTAGTCTGGAGGATGGAGATGGGAACGGAGAGAGTGGTGACGAAGACCGACAGCAGTTCCTGCCCATTTTGGACATGGCTCGTTGTCGGTGTCGCCGCAGGTGTTGTTCATTTGAGACGACATGTCGCCTGTCCAATGCACCCCCAGACCAAGTTCCGTTGCGCTTCGAGGGAACACGACGGACAGTTTTCTATCATTTTCTGACTCTTTTGGCCCTTACTGGGCCCAAGACCGCCAAAAGATTATTCCGGGTCAAGGTTTACTGACTTCCAGGGATCCACGTTCTTAAAAGAAACGCGACGTTGGAGCTCTGGGAGAGAGGGAGGAGAATGGAAAGGGGGGCGGGGAGGGAGGTGGGAAGGGAGGAAGGGAGGGTGGAAATGAGCAACGAAGGGGGGCGGAGGTAGGAAAGAAGGGAGGAGAAGGAAGGAAAGAAGGGAGGGAAGGACGACGCCAGCATTCGCTGGCCCATCTTTGTGGATTGGGCGGCGACTTGCGTACACTCTACGTACATACGCCTCACGCAGGCTCGCCCGGTCCGAAGAGACAGTCTCGCAGCTGCACAAATGGTCGACGACAAGAGGCACCAGTACCCCCCATGGGAGGGCCTCGACCTCGTCCCGATGGTCTTCGAGACTGCGGGGCGGTCGTCGGACGAGGCAGTGAGTTTCGTCCGAGGCTACAGCAATCCAAGTTCTTCAGCCAGCTCTCGCGCGACATCTCCCGCACCCTCCAGCAACGGAATGTGGAGACGATCTTCAGTGCCTCGGGGAAGTACACGTCAGGGGGGTGCCTCCACCATCACCACGACCACCACCACCACGACCACCACGACGCCATATGCCCACGCTGGCAACCACGACAACCACCAGGAGCCCCACGACGCTCTCTCTCCCTCTCTCTCTCTCTCTCTCTCTCTCTCTTTCTCACCGCACCTCCGGCGACCACGACCGCCACCCCCACGACCAGCCCCCGCTGGCCTCGTCCACCACGAGGACTACGACTCTGCCAACGACGCGACGACCGACCCCAGTCTTAAGTCGGGCACGTCCTTCTACAGGAGGAATATTCAAAAATAGTCAATAGTATGGGGGGGATTTTTCGATCTTTGACCATCTTTGAATATGGTTTGACTATTTTTCATTTGTCGTCCAAAGTCCCTCTGTAGGAGGACATGTCCGACCTATCCCCAGTCCCCCTCCCATCCCTTCTTTCCCTCCTGCCTGGCCCTCCCCCGCCTGCTGCCCGTGCCTCCTCGCTTCCTCCGCCTCCCCCCTTTCCCCCCCTCCTCCTCAGGGTGTGGTCGGATGCATGCGGCCTGCGGGGTCCGCCCCTGAGGTCACCCTGGGGAGAGGGGGGGGCTGGCTTGCTCTTGGGAGCCTCCAGGGCCGTGGCGCAGAGAAGGAAGAAGAGCGGGGGGGGAGGGGAGCAGGGAAGGGGAGGGAGGGACGACAGAAGGAGGGGAGGGAAGGGTGAGGGCGGGAGAGGGGATAGGAGTTGCGGAGTTGCGGATATTGCGACAAGGTCGTTTACGACATTGTATTTTGGGTTGCGTGTCGCCTGGCCTGCCCAGCTCGAATGCAAGCCTTAGGCGAGACCCCCGTGCAACTGTTAGGAGGTACTATGTGCCTGCGAACACCTTCAGCACGTCGCGGACACGGGCCGCCCCAGCTTGGCCGATTGTCGGGCTGCGAAGTGGGGAGGGGGGAGTTCGGGGGGAGGAGGTCGGAGGAGGCCAGAGGAGGTCGGAAGGGGACGGGGGGGGAGGTCGCAGACGGAGGCGAGGCAGCCTTGAGTGCACGGAGGGGGCGGCGGTGGGGGAGGGGGCCGGGCAGAAGCGTGGCGGCGATTGCGTTCGGCAGCGGCGTGAGCATAGCGGCTGGGGGGTGGGAGGCCGGGCATGAGCATGCCGGGCATGAGCATGTCGGCGAGGGGGGGGGGGAGCACGGCGGCCATTGCGCGCGGCAGCGGGAATCTCACGCGCCCGCGCGCGGGCCGCTTGCCTGCAGCGGCCGGCCGCGGCTGCTCGGGCGGCGGAGGCCACGAATTCGGTCAATCCGTGCACGTAGGACCATGCTGCGGGAGAGAGGGAGGAAGGAGGCGGGAAGGAGCAGGAGGGAGGAGGGGGAGGGAGGAGGGGCTGGGGGAGGGGGGAGGGGGAGGGAGGAGGAGGAGGAGGAGGAGGAGGAGGAGGAGGAGGAGGAGGAGGAGGAGGAGGAGGGGGAAGAGGAGGAGGAGGCGAGAGGCACTGCAAGCGCCTGGCCAATGAGGCCGACGGAGCCGAGCGGGGCGAAGAAGGCAACGGCTTCGACATCACAGGAGCGGCCGCCGATCTCGGAGCACGGGAGCCCGACCCGTCCCACCAGGCTGGCGAAGTAGACCGCCCGGTGCGTGAACGAGGCTGACTGGCCGCGTATTGCTGAAGACAAGTTCCAAAGAGGCCAAATGAAAGATGATCGTGTTGGCATGAAGAAGGGCGTCAGGGACGAGAGGGAAAGAGGCGGAGGAGGAGGAGGAGGAAGAGGAGGAGGAGGAGGAGGCGGACCCGAGTAAACCCAGGATGCACGAACGATATTGCCGTCCCGAGTCTGAGAGGAGGAGGAGGAGGAGGAGGAGGAGGAGGGACGAGGGACGAGGGACGAGGGACGAGGGACGAGGGACGAGGGACGAGGGACGAGGGAAAGGGATGGAGGGAGGAAGGGCAAAGAGGAGGAGCAGGAGGAGGATGAGGAGGAGAAGGGAAGGGAAGAGTTGAGTTGCTCTCAAGGCCCAGGTTTTTTGGGGGTGGACCGACGGTGTCATGACACGAGGGCGGTGGAAGAATTCGTCGCGGCATCTGGCTGGCCGCGCTAGGCCCACTGCACGCAAGCGCCAACGCATTGTTGTCGTACCATACGTCCTGGCCGAAGCGCCGACGCACCCGCGAGCGCGCGGAGGGGCTGGCAGGGGCAATGTCGAGACGTTGAGCGAGGATAGGCTCAGGAGGGGACGCATCGACCCCCAATCGCCCAAGAATCAACGCCGATATGGCTCCGATAGCCCACCCCGCTCAAAACCGTGCGAATTCGCTCTCGGGGGGCCTGTCGCCGTTCTAGCGGCGACGCATCGCCGATTCCTGGTCGATGTTCCCCCCCCCGAGCCGGTCCCCCTCTAACGTTCCCCCCCAGGTTGGGTGAGGGGTTAGGTCGGACGGGGCTAGGACGAGGATAGATCCGTTCCAGAGCGATCCCAGGACGCTCTCAGAGCGTTCCGGAACGCTCTGAGAAGGCCGCGGCGACCGAGACATCTTCCAGATCCGCCAGATCTCAGAGATTCCCGATTTGTCCTCACCCGACTTTCTCCTCGTCCTGGCTTCGTCTGGTGAGGCTGCCGGGAGCGGGAGCTGCTGGGGTCGGCCACACGCAGGACGCGTTCGGGCGTCGTCGTCGTTTCCTGCGGGGTGCCTTCCTGCCTCTGGCGGCGCTCCAGCAGCTGCGCCTCGCCGAGGGCGTCGTGGGGGCGCCCAGGTCGTCCCGAGCGGCCGCTGCACGACCGAAGCACGGGCCGAAGTCCAGGCCTCCAAGTCGCAGCACAAGCCCGGCCTCGAAGAAAAGCAATAGCGGCATGAGCATGAGCTTCGGGAGGTCCAGCCAGACTTCTCGGATCTGTGCCGGGGCGTCTCCCTGGCGACGCCTCTCCGGCGCCGCCACAGGCGCGCCAGGGAGGCGATCCAGAACCAATCCAAGAAGTTTGCGCGGACCGTTGACCGTTTCTGGTTGCGGCTGGTAGAGCTGGTAGGAGGAGGAGGAGGAGGAGGAGGAGGAGGAGCAGGAGGAGGAGGAGGAGGAGGAGGAGGAAAGGAGGAGGAGGAGGAGGAGGATGAGGAGGGGGAGGAGGAGGAGGAGGAGGAGGAGGAGGAGGAGGAGGAGGAGGAGAAGGAGGAGGAGGAGGAGGAGAAAAAGGAGGAGAAAAAGGAGGAGGAGGAGGAGGAGGAGGGGTGGGAGGAGGAGGAGAAGGAGGAGGAGGAGGAGGAGGAGGCGGAGAGCCACGGGCTGAGGAGAGCGGGGCCAGCCGTCGTCGTCGTCGGCCCGCCCCTTGCCCCTCGTGGCCGCGCGCCGCGGCGGTTGCGATCGGCAGCCGCTGCAGCCGCACGCCCGCGGAGGAGGCACCCCTCCGCGCGCCGCCGAGCTGCCCAGGCGGGGCCGAGGGCCCCAAGACGGCCCCAGTGGCCCCCCTCGGCCCCTCCACCTACGAGGAGGCGGCGAGCGCGGACGCCTGGCCCTCGCCAGGCTGCGCCGGAGGCGGACGCCACGCCGCGCACGGTCGGCGAGCCAGCCTGGCATCGCCGCGCCAGGCAGCAGCGCGCGGAGGCCAGGGTGTTGCTCAGGCTGCACACCGCGGCGCAGGTGCTGGAGCAGCATCATTCCACACAGAAGGAGATGGCCCACCAGCGGCGCAAGAGCGAAGAGTGGGGCGACGAATGGAATGAGGATGGCTGGCGGAACAGCGTGCCGTGGAGATCCGCTTACC